TGAACCCATGGAGATTAAACAACACACTCCTGACTGGATGAATGGATGAATGGAAAAAATTAAGAAAGAGATAAAAGTATTCCTAGACCTAAACAAAAAGGATAATACAACACAACAAAACCTCTGGGACACTTTAAAAGCAGACCAAAGAAGGAAGTTTATAGCTCTAAGTGCCTACATTAAAAAAATCAGAAAGAGCACAAATAAATGGATTAACTCAAGACTCTGGATGGGCAACAACAAATGAAACCCAAACCCAGCAGACAAGAAGAAATAACAAAAAATCAGAGCAGAAATAAATGAAATAGAAACAAAGAAATCAATACAAAGAACCAATGAATCTAAGAGCTGGTTCTTTGAAAAAATAAAGAGGACAAACCCTTAGCCCAGTTAACCCTAAGAAAGAAAGAGCAAATCAAAATCAACAAAATCAGAGATGAAAGGGGAAACATCAAAACAGACACCAAAAAGATCCAGAACATTATAAGGGAATTCTTTAAGAACCTATACTCTATTATTGAAAACCTAAAAGAAATAGATGAATATCTAAACTCACGGGAACCACCAAAGCTAAATCAAGAGATCAACAGCTTAAGCAGATACATAACATTAAGGAAACTGAAGCAGTAATACAAAACCTCCCATCTAAAAAAAAACAGCCCAGGCCCAGATGGAGTCCCAGCAGAATTCTACCAGACATTCAAAGATCTACAAATAATACTACTTAATTATTCAAAAAGATAGAAACAAAAGGAGAACTCCCAAACTCCTATGAAGCCAGCATCACGCTAATACCAAAACCAGGTGAAGACACAACCAAAAAAGAAAATTATATACCCATATCCTTAATGAGCATAGATGCAAAAATTTTAAACAAAATACTTGCAAACTGTATACAGACACACATCAAAAAGATCAACCACCACAATCAAGTCAGCTTTATTCTAGAGATGTAAGGATGGTTTAATATACTTAAGTCAATATATTATAAACCATATAAATGGACTCAAAGACAAAAAAATCACAGTCAATAGATGTAGAAAAGGCCTTTGACAAAATTCAGCATGCACTTATGTTGTAAGTTCTAGAGGGAATTGGACTGAAGGGAACAACATAATTAAAGCTATATACAACAAGCCCACAACCAAAGGCATTCTAAATGGAGACAAACGAGAATCAGACAAGGCTTTCCACTATCTCTATTCTTTTTAATATGATGCTTGAAACTCACACTCGAGCAATAAGAGAAGGAAATTAAAGGAGTATGATGTATGATATTACACGTAAGAGATCCCAAATATTCCACCAGAAAACTCCTAGAAATGATTAAAACTTTCAGCAAAGTGGCAGGATACAAAAATCAGTCTACAAAAATCAGCAGCCTTTCTACAAACCAATAAAAAGCAATCAGAGAAAGAGTACGTGGAAACCCTCCCATTCACAACAGCATCAAAAATAAAATAAAATAAAATAAAATTACTAGGAATAAACTTGACCGAAGATCCCAGAGAGCCAAAGCAACCCTGAGCACAAAGAGCAATGCTGGAGGGTTGCCATACCAGATCTCAAATCATTACAGAGCTATAATCATAAAAACAGAATGGTACTAGCACAAAAACAGATACACAGATCAATGGAAAGAACATAATTGAAGACCCAAACCTCAGTTCATGCAATTTCAGCCACCTGACATTTGACAAAAGTGCCAAGAACACACAATGGAAGAAAGACAGCATCTTCAACAAATGGTGCTGGGAAAACTGGATCTCAATCTGTAGAAGAATGAAACTAAATCCTTGTCTTTCACCTTGCACAAAAGTCAACTCCAAATGAATCAAAAAGACCTCAACCTCAATGTGAAACCTGAAACTCAAAACTGTTAGAAGAAAGCATAGGCAGTACACTGCAAGATAAGTATAGGAAAGGACTTTCTAAATTGGATAACAGTTGCTCAGGAATTAAGGTCAACAATCAACAAGTAGAACCTCATTAAACTAAAAAGCTTCTGTACAGCAAAAGAAACAACCAAGAAAGTAAAGAGAAAACCCACGGAGTGGGAAAAAAATTTTCACCAGTGACACATCTGAGAGAGGTTTAACATCCAGAATACCTAAAGAACTTAAAAAATAAAGAATCAAGAAAACAAATGACCCAATTAAAGGATGGGCTATAGATCTGAACAGGGAGTTCTCAAGAGAAGAAATAAAGATGGCTAAGAAACACCTTAAAAGTATTCAACATCTTTAGTAAGTACGGAAATGTAAACCACTTTAAGATTTCATCTTGGGGATGGAGAGATGGTTCAGTGGTTAAGAGCACTGACAGCTTCTGCAGAGGACCTGGGTTTGATTCCCAGCAAAGAATCATCCGTAACTCCAGTTCCAGGGGATTCAATACCTTCTTCTGACCCCCGTGGGCACTGCACCCCATGGGTGCATTTACACACATGTAGGAAATACACTCATACACATAAAATAAAAAATAAAATATATTTTTAAAAAAAGATTTCATATTATACCAGTCAGACTGGCTAAGATCAAGAGAACAAATGATACCAAACGCTGGAGAGGATGTGGAGAAAGGGGAATGCTCACTCACTACTGGTAGAATGCAAACTCATGCAACCACTATTGAAAGCTGTGTGGAGAACGCTTAAAAAACTAAAAAATGGCCAGGCATGGTGGTGCACACCTTTAGTCCCAGCACTCAAGAGGCAGAAGCAGGTAGATCTCTGTGAGTTCAAGGCCAGCCTGGTCTCCACAGTGAGTTCCAGGCCAGATGGGGCTACAGGGAGACCCTGTTTCAAAAACACCAAAAAAAAAGACAAAATCATGAAATTTGCAGGTAAATAGATGGAACTAGAAACTGTTATACTAAGTACAGTAAAACAGACTCAGAAAAACAAACAACATATGGATGGCCTCATTTGTGGATCTTAGCACCAAATCCTTATATGTGAGTATATATCCAGATATAACTGCAGGAGCCAGAAAAATGGAAAGTAACTAGGGAGGTAAAAGGAAAGAAGGAGCCTGAGACAGAAGAACAGAAGGAGACAGGTGTTACCAAGGGGAAGATAGGTAAAATGGGGGTACTTAAATGGGAGAGGAAGAGAGAGGGTTATATAAGGAACCATGGGGGTAAAAGGGAAGGAGCTTAGGAGAGGGGAGGCCATAGGACACAGGTATGATCAAGGGTCAAAATGAGAAAATGGGGGTACTTTAACTGGGGAGGGAGAAGGGAAGGTTAGACAGGGAGAAAGAGAGGAGAGGTAAATAATGCTTAGCTGGTGCGAAAAACCAGAGGGAAATATATTAATTCAAAAGTCTACTGAAAAATTACACATACACTATCTCTACATGAGAACATGGTAATAGCTGAAGTCTATATACAAGAAACAGTACCAGACAGGAGAAACCTCCCTTTGAGTTGTTGGTCAGGGTAGTCCAAGAGACTCGCAAAATTACACAGGCTATTGCCACAGTTCTTGATTGCCTCGCAGAACTTGAAGGTAAGACCCTATTGTTGAAGACAGGACATACTTCAGACACAGGACTTGGAGCAATTGTGGTGGAACTGACCTGGAAGCCATCTCCCTAAAGGCTAGCTCTCACAGTTTTGGAGACTACTATGCAAGCTACTAAGGGAGAACATCAATTGATGGTCTGACCCCAGCTTTAAGGCCTAATGACCACAACAATGACCAGAACAGTAAACTATATTGGGGCAGTATTAGCACTTTAATCTTGTGGGTAATCAACAGCTACATATCTGAACTTAAAGCCCACTCAATGGGAGGGAACTGATGTGTGGTACTGTAAACATAGCCAAATACACATGGCTAGAGAGGTCACAGATCTTAGAAAAAGAGGATGTAACCTAAGGCTGTTACATCTCTGGATAAATGTAATTTCTTACTATGTGCTAAATATCAGTCCTTATATTTACAGACAAGTATGCCAGTCACCATGCATCAAAGAAGCTTCTTTTGCCACAGAAAGAGACTATTAGAGAGTTCCACAACTTATCACACACAGAGATTAAGTGTCTGTAAAATGCCCAACCATAAGTGACACATCTACAATGGAACCTCTGCACCTAAGGCTCATGAAACATGGGGTAGAGAATATTAATGCATGTCTCAACTCTCATCAATGAAGCTCCCTCATGCAACAGAGAATAAAGATCACAGAAGGCCACAAATAGCCAAAGCTTAGAGAATAAGAGTCTGTAGAGTGTGGGTCCTTGGATAGGGCTCCTGTATTAAACTTCACCAACCCAGGGCTCAGGACCATTGCACAAGAGGGAGTAGAAAGATTGTAAGAATCAGGGGAGGAGGTGCATGACCATATGCAAACAGAGTCTTACAGGCTCCTGGGACCTTGCTCATATGAACCCATAGCAATGATGTCAGTATGCACAAGACCCATGCAAATTGAAATGGCATAGAACTGGGGAAATGGGCAGCAGGTCCCAGTCTTTACTGAGTAACTATTGGCAGCTGATTACTTTTGAGTGAGGAAGAACTGATCTTCTTTAAGGGAGTGACTCTAGATAGGCTGAGTAGACCCCTTATGGGAGACACTAACTTGACTTGATAGGCCTTAACACAAATGACAGAATGCATGAAATCCAGTAGGAGGGTGGTAGGCCATGGGAGGATGCTAATGGGGAAGAGGGTATGAAGATTATTAAGATGTTGTTTATGAAATACACAAACATTTGGGGACTAGAGATGGCTCAGCAGTTAAAAGCACTGGCTGTTCTTGCAGAAGACCCAGGTTCGAATCCCAGCACCCACATGGCAGCTAACAACCATCCCTAACTCCAGTTCCAGGAGATCCAATGCCCTCTTCTATTCTCCTACGACATGGGTGCACTTACACACATGTTGACATAACACTCATACACATATAACAAAAATAAATGAATCAAAAAAAATTTTTTTAAGAAATACACAAAAATTCAATAAAATATAGAAAAAAAATCTTAAAACATACCTTTTATTTTCAGCCAGACTGGCTCCTTCATCCTTCAGCTGCTTGCTTTTCTGAGCACAGCCTTCCTGGAGGGTCTCCTTCCTCCGTTTACTAGCATGAAGCCAGCTTCCATTCTCATTCTCACCTCCAGCCTTCTCATCAGCAGCTTCGGCTTCAAACTGCTGGGATGTGGCCTTAGAAACCTTCTCACCAATTTTCCTCTTCCACCCAAAGGAGGCCATCCTGAAAAATTTCAGAAACAGCTTTAAAATGTTACAAAAGCATCCCAATGAACAGAAGATAACAGACTCCCAGGATCAGACTATGGCCATTTTAATGCCTGTTTTTAGACCACAGCATAAGTATCAAGTGCTACCAAAATTTCAAAGATGACATCAGTCAATAACTGTTCCCATGCCTTCTAATGGAACTGATGCTCTTACACATTAATCCAGAATCCTATCAGGTCTCTGCCAGTTATATGAAATATAAGACTTCAGTAATACATCAGACACATGCAACAGGAAACAGAAAAACAAGAAAAACAAGGCCAGTTTCTTCAAGACATAAACATAAAAAGGGGGAGGGGGAAAGGAGGGCAGTGACTGTTAGGTTAAGAGGCTGAAAAGACAGACCACCAAACACTGAATCTTCTTTCAATCCTGACTCAAAATAAACCAACACTGAGGGACTGGAGAGAGGACTCACTGATTAAGAACATGGGTTCACAGCATCCACGTGAGAACACACACAATCACCAGTAACCCCAGCTCCAGGGGATCTGATATCCTCTTCAGGACTCTGGGGCACCTGCACTCATGTGTACATACTCACACATGTATACACATAATTTAAACTTTTTTTAAAAAACCAACATTGAAAGAACATATAAAAAGAATAAGATAAGCCAGGCGTGGTGGCACACGCCTTTAATCCCAGCACTTGGGAGGCAGAGGCAGGCGGATCACTGTGAGTTCAAGGCCAGGCTGGTCTACACAGTGAGTTCTAGGACAGCTGGGGCTACAGGGAGACCCTGTGTCAAAAAGACCAAAAAAAAAAAAAAAAAGGAATAAGATAAATAAGAACAGTGACTTGACATCTGACAGTGTGAACGAATCACTGCTGTGTTCCAGGTGGCCTAGCAGTATCATGACTGAATTTTTCAAAAAAAGAAACAAAAAACTTACCCTTAAGGACTACACAGCAGCTGAGCAGGGTGGCACACGCCTTTAATCCCAGCAGAGGCAGGCAGATCCTTGTGAGATTGAGGCCAGCCTGGTCTACATAGAAAGTTCCAGGCCAGCTGGGGTTATAGGGAGACTGTCTCAAAGACACACAGACACACACACACAGACACACACACACAGAGAGAAAAAAAACTACATAGAAAAATATTTCATTATGAAATCATATGGTAGCTAGGAACTGCTTCAAAGTCATCACAGGTAAGGAGTGTCATGGAGAAGGTGAAATAAAATCACTGAACTGATAACTCATGGAGTTGGGAGATAAACACAGAAGACTCACTGCTCTTTTTCCTTCTTTTCATATACACTGAAATTTTCTTTTTTGGTTTCTTTGAGACGGGGTCTCCCTGTAGCCCCAGCTGGCCTGAAACTTGCTATGTACACCAGGCTGGCCTCGATCTCACAGATATCCACCTACCTATGCCTCCCAACTGCTGGGATTAAAATCATGCTGCGCCACCACACCTGACTCCATAATTGTGTGTGTGTGTGTGTGTGTGTGTGTGTGTTCAGGGCTATTTTATTTTTGAGATAGGACTAACTAACTCAGTTGTCCCAGAAATTTCAACAGAACCCAAGCTGGCCTCAAGCTCATGACCCTCCTGCATCAGTCTCACAAGTGCTAATGTTTCAAGTACAGTCCACCACATCTGGTTATAAAACAGTTTTTAAAAGATGTTAATGTTAAACATTAAAAGACTTGTCAAAACTATTGGTTAAGTCAAAGAACAACCAATGTTAAAACTATTTTGTAACTCTGCCATGACATTCAAAAGGGAAAAGAGATAACTGACAGAACAAAGGAAAACATTCCAATTATTGAACAGTATTTAGAAAAGGATTAACAGAGACTCAGTAACTCGCAAGGTACACAGACAGACTTTAAGATGTACAAGAACCCCTGTAACTGCATAAATTATCTTATATGCTGTGTGTTTAGGAGAAGAGTGTCTAAGATTTTATCAATTCTTAGAGGAACCTGTGACCACAGAAGACAGGAAAAAAAGCAGTGAACTCAGAGATCTCTTTGAAATTCTAAAGCAATAGGCCTTACAAGAGAAAGGGACGGAAATGAAACAGTGAGTTCTAGCAATATCAAGACATCATCACTGACATACATGACGGAGGTGAAATATAAATGACAGGAAGAAAACAAAAAAATGAAAATGCCTGGGAGTTTCTTCACACCCAAAAGCCCAAGTTACTGGCAGAACTGAAAAAATTATGGTTTATAGGCCTAAGTTGTTACTGAACACAAGGAAGTCTGATAATCGCTGCAATCACAAACAGCACAGGCTGATGTGGGTGAAGCACATGCTTCCCACAGGTACAGGGAATCTGGACAAATGGGTAACAATGGAGCAAAACTTGCACCAGAGAACTGGGACAATGGGAACTTTCTCTGTGTGCTCATCAATATGGGAGAATGCATTTCCTCTGTCTGAACATCACTTTACACATCCCAGGGGAAACCAAGAAAGGACTAGAAATCAAAGTATGGTTATTATGTGGGTCCAAGGCTGGAGGCACAGAGTGAAGGCAGCCTAGAAGAATGGTTATCATGCAAGATATCAGAAAAGAAGCCTTGCATTTACGACTGTCCCTGAAGGTAATAAAAATGATCATTAAGTATTCTGCCTTCAAGTTTTCAAACAGAACTTTCTTTCCACATTACCAATGTGAGGCACCAAGCAGGGTAAAGTTATATTAACAGAAACCTAGTATATTTACTGAAGGAAATTACATTTAAAATCACTGATCAAATCTGTTAGTTATTAGGAGCAGGGGATAGATGAGGAAAATAGAAGGAAATCCATGTGTATTTTTTTTTTAATTATCAGGTCATTCAGACTCCCACTACCCTCCCCATCTTCCAACCCAAGTCAGGATTATAACTGCAGAGAACAGGTATGAGTTAAGGCCCCATGGGGTGGCTCTGACCATGCATGAAACACATACCCTGTTCCTTAGACGTTTGTGTCATGGTCCCCTACAAATCCCTTGACATCAGAGGCTGGGGAAATCAGGGCGGAATGAAGCTATCAGGATCTGGAAACTGATGACGCAAGACACTGACAAGTTTCACCTTGCAGAGAAGGACAAGAACTGTATTCCTTACAATTCAATAAAGGTTAGCATTACATGAAAAGTACAGGAACGCTCAGGAACAGAGTAAAAACAAAGGGAGTTTATGCCCCCCAAGTTTTAGATTTCTCAGGGAAATAAGAAGTAGTCATCCACTCAAGGCAAAAATTAATAGATATGTGCATTTAAGAAAAATGAAGAGATCAGATACAGCCACTGAGGACTGAGGAAAACTGCAACATGAGAACAGAGGTAGCAAACAGAAGCAAGAGCCTCTAAGGTTAAAAAGCAGAAATGTGTCACCAAGGCCAACAATAGCTTTTTATTTTTGTCAAACTGTCTGAAGACAAGGAGAGGATACCCAATTACAACGCATGGTAAGCACTACAAGAGTGATCGAACGGGGTTGGGGAGATGGCTCAGCGGTTAAGAACACTGGTTGTTCTTGCAGAGGGCCCAGTTTGATTCCCAGCACCAACATGGCAGCTAACAACCATCCATAACTCCAGTTCCAGGGGAATCCAATGCCTTCTCTGACCTCCATGGGCACTCCACAACACAGGTGCACTTACATATATGCAGGCAATACACCCATACACACAAACAAAATATTTTTGAATAGAGTGATCAAACGATGCTATCAGACAACTGACACCTGAACCTTTATAAATGAAGTGAGCTTTAAAGAATAAAACTGGGATTGGAGAGATGGCTCAGCAGTTAAGAGCACTGGCTGCTCTAGCAGAGGATCCAAGTTTGATTCCCAGAACCCATATGGCACCCAACAACCATCTGTAACTCCAGTTCCAGGGAATCCGATGCCCTTTTCTGACCTGTGCAGGCAATGCATGTCGTGGGTATACTTTCATACATGCAGGCAATATACCCATAGACACAAAATAAAAATAACAGTTTTGAAAAAAAAAGGAATAAAAGTTGACCAGGCTTAGCCAGGCCCACGTCTTTAGTCCCAGCACTCAGAAGACAGAGGCAGGCAGATCTCCAGATTACCCTGGTCTACGATGTAGCAAGTCTCAAAATGGCATAAAAAATAAAAGTTGACCAGGCTTAAAAGGAGGGATGAATCCTAGCACACGTGAACACGTTCCCCAAGGAAAATATAACTCTAGTGAGTTAACTCAGAATCTTAAATGCTGCTGGGGAGAAAATATAGGTTATTGTCAATTACTGGTTTTGGTATTTAAGACCAAAAGGTTTGAAAATTAGTCGGGCACAGTAGTGCATGCCCCTAATCCCAGAACTGGGGAGACAGAGGCACAGGCAGGCAGATTTCTGTCAGGTCAGGGCCAATCTCATCTACATAAGGGGTTCCAGATCAAAATTATTTTTAAAAAATTAACTGTGATGATAGTGGTGGAAGGACCCTCAGTACACAGTTTAAGTGGGTAAACTGTATAACATGCCAATTATATCTCAATAAAGCTGTTTTTTAATAAATTGTGAATTTATTGTTCCTCTAATAGTATGTACTTATTTTTTTAATTAACCTATCATTAAAATACCTTATAGAAGAGGTTTTCATAAATCTTTATTTGGATTCATAAGGCACAAAAGTCCTAAACATTTTTTACCAGGGTAAAAAAACTAAGGGAAGTAGCTTCCAATCATTCAGATTTCCTGTCAAACCCGTGTTTCATGTTAAATCCGTGTTTATGTTAAATTCAACATTTTAGACAGAATTTAAGTGTGGCATGAAAATCCAAAACAATGTTCTGTATTCTAAATTCATGTGCTAGAGCAATGACCCACAGCAGGATCTGCACAAGTCGATGACTTGACACAGGACCCAGCCGCCAGCTGCCCGGTGCTTGCAGCCGGGTGAAACGTCTAGTGTAGACTGCGTGAGAGGATGTCACCAAGGGGGAAAGCTCTGGGTGGAAGTAGGAAAGCATCCTCGCGAGGAGACGCTTTCGCAGGTGAACGATTTACCTACAACCAGCGGAGAAAAGCAGCATTCGCGACTCCCCAGTCCACAGTAAAGTGCGGCCGCAGGCAGGCTGGGCGGCCCCAAGGGCCCAGCGTCTCCCCGGCTACTGCGCCGGCACCCAGGCACAGCGCGCCCGATTCCGTGAGCCCCATGGGCCACCCCTGACTCCCTACGCTCGTCTCGCCCAGCTTCCCTCTCCGCTGCCTTCCACCAAGGACCCCAAGCCCGTTACCTGAAACCCACTCCGCGGTCCCGTGTTTACATTCCGTTCGCCCTTTGGCACCGGAAGCGGAAACTATCAAGCCCGAGGTCTCCCCGGCCTTGCGTGTTCGTGCTACCCAGTCTTCTATAAAACGCGTAGGAGTCTCATCCGGGAACGTTCCGAGCAGTTCGGAAAAGCGGACGGAAGGTTCTCGTCGATGTCGTCGTCAACGTCGTGTCCCCCGCCTCCTGGTCTCCCCGTGTCGCGTCTAGGATTACAGGTCCCAGAAGTCACTGCGGCGCCCCTCCGCATTACTCTCTGGGATTTGTAGTCCGGCCACCCGACAGCTAGCGGTGCCCTCTAGCACAAGCCTAGAAGCTGGCTAAGGTGGCTGCGTAGACTGAGAGGCTGCAGAAAGTCTGCAGGTTAAAAGAGACACAAGACCCAGGCTGGGAAAACCAACTGGCGGAATACGCAAAAGATTAACACATGATCTAACCCTAAAGGGGTTTACATTCTGGCCTGAAGGCCATCCAGACACACAAGACAGGAAAAACTATGCTGAAAATAAGTTCTAGGGAAGCTGATCCAGAGCTCAATTGATTTGAACCCAGAATTACAGCCCGAAAGTAGCACTGGGTCATGTGTTTATAAGTAAATAATAATCAGGCAAATGTTAACATGGTGGAAGCATTATGGGATGCCATTAGTAAAGCTCCACATACCCCAGTCACCAGGTAGGACCACCAGATTGTTTCTACCCAAAGTCAAAGATATGAAGAAAAATCCTACCCCAAAACACTTGCAAACAGTGGTTCTCAGCCACTACGGGTTAGAGACCCTTTCATAGCAAAAACTCTTGCACATTACCCTTTTCACAAAGGTGATTTTGACACGGATGGTTTAAAATGAGATAACAAGAAAACTGCTGCGGTGACTTAAGGTAATGATGCCCACCTGTAACGTTAGTCGCGGCATTCCTCCACCACACCCTCGCGGTAGAAAAATGTCATCATTCAAAAATACCATTAATGAAGCAGTAAAAGTCCATTTTTCTTTTGAGATGCGGGCTTCGCTATGTCGCCTGGCTCAAGAGATTATCCCACCTCAGCCTCTTGAGTAGCTGGAACTACAGGAATTTGCCACCATGCCCAGCGAAAACTGTAATAATCTATGACAAAAGGGTAAGTTCTCATAAAGTATATTTGCTACCCATGTCCTGAAGAAAATTGATTTAAGACTGTACTACAGAGGCTGAAGAGATGGCTCAGCAGTTAGGAGTATTTGCTGAGCCACTTGCAACTCCCGCTCCAGGGAATCCAAATCCATTCTAGCCTCTGAAGGCACTCACACATACATAATTTTTTTTTTTTTTAAGAAAAAGACTCTTGTAAATTATTTTGTTGTGGAACACAACTTTTTTAGAACCACTGATAAGCTGTTTAGACCTTTTCTTGAACATGAACAAAGATGGGCTGAGACAGCTCAACATGGAAGGGTGCTTGCTGCCAAGCGACACAACATGAGTTCAACCCCTAGAAGACATTTGCTACTAATGATAAAACTAAAGATTTTAAATTTTCAGTGTATGGGTGTTTTGCCTCCATATATGTAAATGCAGCATGCACATACAATGTTGCAGAGACCAGAAGAGGGTTACTGGTAGTTGACAGATCTGAGGCATCTCTCCAGCCCTTATTTTTATTATTTTTAATTATGTGGAAGGGGAGGGATATGTGCCTGTGGGTACAGTACCCAGGGAGGCCAGAGGCATTCGATCCCCAGGAGCTGGTGTTACAGAAGGTTGTGAGCCTCCTGGCATGGGTGCTAGGAACAGAATGCCTGTCTTCTGCAAGAGCAGTATGCACTCTAAAATTATGGTTCTAGAAAAAACGTACTTATTATATAATGAACTTAGGAGATCCATGGTGACATCAGACATAATTTTTATTTGTAATTTGATTACATTCAACTTTTTAAAAAAGATTTATGTATATGAATGTTTTGCCTGCATATGTAAAGTGTAGTGTGTGCAATGCCCTCAGAGGGCAGAAGGCGGCATCGGATTCCCTGGAACTGGAAAAAAGGATGGTTGTCAGCCATTATGTGGGTGCTGAGAACCAAAACCAATACCCAGTCCTCTGGAAGAGCAGCAAGTTCTCTTAACCCATCTCTCCAGCCTCACTCATCAACATTTGTAGGCACTCCATTAGTAAACCAGCATTTTCAAAATGACCAGTTCACGAATGTGGCAGCCAGCCTTCAAGATGGGCTTCAACGTGTCCTACCCTGGCATTCAATGCTTGAAAAGTTCTTCCGCCAGTTTACCAGTATTGGTCTTTATCACCTATAGAACAGGGCAGAAATGAAAGTGCTATCGCCTCATCTGAACTGCAGGAGACACCAAAGGGAGTAACAGTGTACCTTAATCTGAACAGAGGCCTATGTGATCACATTCATTATAATCCTGAAACACTGAAAACCCATTAAGCCATATATTTATGGTTTTTGTATTTTGATACACACACACATAAACAAGATATTTAGAGCAGGATCTGTGTCCACCACATTTGTCATGACAGGTTCACAGTGACCATAGGAAGACACACAGCTACCTACCTGGTGAATGATGAAACAGTGCTTGAGGCTCTGCCCCTCTAAATCTCACAAGTAGCTTATCTTTGACAGCCTCTACTCTAGTAAAGGCTTAGCAACATCTTCCACGTTGCTAAAAATACTCTAAATGGATGCCACTATTTATTGACAATTACAGTAAACAGGTTTACTCATTTACAGTAAGTAAAACTTTAATAGACACTGGTTTCAAGTGACAATTTCTTGTACAAATTTGTAGAGAATACCTAGAACAATGGATTCTCCAAAAGAACATCCTTACCGCTATTCCTAGCACTCTTTAATGTTGGTCGATCGAATTCTAAAGTCCAGTTTCAATAGCTGGCAGAGGGCAGCTACTTCATCCAGCTTTTACTGTTGGCATCTTAATATTTTGTTTAGGTGGTTGGTTTCTAGATGAAGTTCATTTGAAACAAAAATCACAATATTTCAAGAACTAAAATTTAGTCAAGCACTATTTTGTATTTCAATCCAGTAAGAAGGGCACACTCAGCCATGAACAAGTGATCCCCTCCAGCCACCCTCCAAACCCAGGTTAAACAAGAAAGATGTTGTAACGGATGAAAAATGAAGCTTTTCTTTATTAGGCCATCTTTCTAAATCAAGGTACTCTGGTCAAACATACATCAACCACGAAGATTGACCTCTACTCTACAACCAACTTTTAGTTCAGTTGTACGTGGAATTTCATTCACCTTGTCAGACAGAGCTCATGATGAAAAGGTGCAGGGGAGGGGGCAGTTAAGGAAAAGAAAGATTTAGACAATACATGTTTTCTTTCATTCCAAAGATGTAACTTGGAACACTGATGCATGAGTTCCACATACCCAGGCACATTAATCCAGTGTGAAAGCTACCACAAGATACTTGCAGTGCAAGGGAGGGAGGGAATTTATATAAAATCATCTGAAACTCCAAAAAACTACAAAAGCATCTTAAGAAAAAAATATAATCAAAGTAAAAGCAACGTTGTTTATTTCCATGGACTTATTTTAAATTATATCTGATATATTATGCTCCCGTGTGTCCCAGCCTGGTAGAAAAGTTCCTCTCATGAGAAATCAATTTTAATGGAAAAATTTTTACATATCAGTAAAATCTATTATATTTAAAACTATGTATACAGTACTTTTCTGGCAAAAACCTTATACATCTTTCAGTTGTCAAGACAAAGTAAAAATACGGTTGCATAAAATCACAAAAAATATAAACTGCTGAAAAGATAATAAAAAAGATTAAAAATCATTTGCATTGACTCTCATTATATGTTCAGTACAAGAATTCGCAAACTACAATAAATTTGTGAAATTCTGTTGCAACCTTGACACACTTAACCAAAAGTTGTCACTTCAAATACTCTAGCTTAAAAAAAGAATTTACTGCAATAGTCTGCATTTATCATATTATTTGTACAAGTGCAATATTTAAATATTTTCAAAATAAAACTCAGTAACTAAAAGGAATCACAAAATAACTTATAAAAGAAGCAAAGTTTACAAAATTAACAACTTTCAGAAGGTCCTATTTAATTGGTTCCTCCTTTTGTGCCCCCCTCCCCCCAACACTTTATAGAGATATTACTTAATTCTATATACAAATCTGTAACTTTAAAAATACAGTCTTCTGTTCTTAACATCAGGAACACGACACTGCATTTAGAGAGCAGTGACACAGATAAACCCCAGAGGGACCACACATACCCTATACATATGGTTGGAACTCATTTAAATTGAACTTCCATTACTTTATACAGCATTCAAATCTGGAGTTAACTAGAACAAGCCCTGAACAAAAAAGAAGCAAGATTTTGTTCTGAATTCAGTGCATGCACTACAGTAATTCTTTATGCAACCTACCAAGAGCTCCAGAACATTACTGCTTGGTTACATATGTGCTCACCATATTTGCAAAAAAGAAAAAGAATTAAAGAAAAATGAACTGTAATGAGAAAAAATAACTCTCTTGCAAAAGGAAGATGATTAATGCCAAAAGAAAAAACATTTTTACGGTACTGGGATTCAAGCCCAGAGACCCTTGTGTGCATGCCAGGCAAGCACCTGCCACTAAGCTATATCCTCAGTCCTAATTTCTTTTTTTAGGCCTTTTTGAGACAGGATCTCCCTGTAGCCCCAGTGGCCTAGAACTCACTATATAGACCAAGATGGCCTCAAACTCACAGATATCCACCCTCTTCTGCCTCCCAAGTGCTGGGATTAGAGGCGTGTACCACCACACCCGGCCCTCAGTTCCATTTTTTTTTAAAAGTTAATATAAGCCAAACATGGGCAATACAGTATTGCTAGCATACACAATTACCAGCTTTGTTTTAAGTGACTTTAAATCTTCATTTACCCCTATTATGCAGTCCTATTACTAAAAGTGGGAAAAAAAACATATAAATCAGATATCTTAGAAAGAGTAAATATCTTTAGCCACTAATTTTTTTAAAAATTAAAACCTGAAATAAATGTAACCATCTTAAAACTGATTTCTTAGCCAGGTGTGGTGGCGCACGCCTTTAGTCCCAGCACGCAGGAGGCAGAGGCAAGCAAGCGGATCTTTGTGGATTTGAGGCCAGCCTGGTCTACATAGCGAGTTCCAGACCAGTTAGGGCTACAGGAAGACCCTGTCTCAAAAAGACCAAAGAACAAAAACAAAAAGCTGATTTCTTCCAAATTCATAGTAATCTGATGAAACAACTACAATCAGATTCAATGTATATAAACTTTAATTGGATTCTGGTTTGAAATAACCAGCTACTAAAGAAATTCAGAGCTGGGTGTGGTGGCCTTGATCTCACAAGGCAGGTGAACCTCTGTGAGATCAAGGCCAGTCTGGTCTCCATAGTGAGTTCCAGGCCAGCTGGGGCTACAAAGAGAGGGTCTCAAAAAGACAAAAAAAAAAGAAAGAAATTTGGGAGACAACTAGGGAAACCTAAACATGCAATAGTACATACTATTTGAGAATTACTGACTGTACATATAATGGATTTATGAAATTTCTTTAAAGAGGGTATTTTTAGGAGGTGCTGAAGTATTGAGCTGATATGTGTACCTTAGCATCTCAGTGGTTCAGAACAAAACCATGTACACATTCAAATACATATCCATGTTTTTAGACATGTGACTATAATGAAGCAAATACTGCCAAATGTGAGCTGTGGAACCAGTAAACAAGCATGTGATCATCTGACAGTCCTTCAACTTTCCTTCTTTAAAACATGTTCAAAATAAAATTGGAGATGAAAAATCCAATCCAAATATTAAAGCTCATAAAAGATGTCCTTTTCTACTCAGTGAATCAACTGACACATAGTCAACTGACATTCAAGACTGGCTGTCATGAGCCCAAGAAATCTGTGACACTGGCAAGAACACAATTCATGAACAGCAACTCAGCTCTGGAAACAAAAGCAGCACTTCACGTACACAGGATAAGGGGGCAATCTATAAAATTAAGCTGAGGGCCTAGAGTTTCTGAATATATAAGTTCTATGTTATTTTTGGATCTATAAGCTAAAAAAAATTTACATTGAGTTTTCTGATGTGATTTACCACAGAAATCTGAATTTTAAGGGGGATAAGGAAACAGTTCTCCATAGTGTTACCACTGGCGGAAAGTAGTAGCTATTTAAGAAGCTAAGGAGCCCAGAAAACAGTATGACCTGTGAAGGCCTATGAGGATTCTAGGCAAATACTCATTGAATAAATTTACGAAGCAAATATAAAACATATCAACATGTAGTAATATGTGAAGGCCTTTATGGTAAATTTATATTCTACAAAGCCCTGTCATACTAAATTAAAAGGACAAAAAAATCAGGTGCACCTGAGACCTATAACTCATTGTGTGTATATTATGTTATATATACCTACTGAATAATGAAAAATAAAATGATCTTAATTCATTTCAGCGCATTAAGCTTTTAACTCTCAATCATTTTCCAGTATCTGTGCAAATTGCATTCCAAAAGGCCAATTCTTAGTTATAATTTTATATATATAACTTGATATGTGGAAGCACTTGGCTATTATTTATTATGCATGCTTATTACATCAAAGAAATAAGCAAAGTTTTAGGTTTATTGTGCAAGAATTTTAATTAGATTTGCACACATTTCAAAAAATTCTATTGTGTGACTTCCAGGTCTTGGAGCTAAGTCAACAGAAGTGTCAAGTGAGGTCACAGACGAGGTAAGAGAAACTTCTGAGGACTTCCCTTGAGCTTCAGCATCGGAGTCACTCCTTTGGCAAGAGCGATAGTTGCTGATGGATCCCGATCTCTGTGGAGTAGCAGTCCCTGATTTGGCCTCTGTAATTTCATCTGGGTGAAAGAATTTCAATATGTTATTAACTATGCTTTCTCCCTCAATTTTTCAAAACAGTATGAAATTCAATTCTTTAAGTGAGACTACTTGATCAACTCTCTAGAGCATGTTTAAACATTTTCTAAAACTGAGGCAATGTACCTGTGCTGTTTTTACACACAGCACACATTCCTGTGATGGCCAGTCAATGCCAAGTACACAGTATATTGCTCATCATGCTTACAGAGATTAAGAGCCAGTAAACTAATAACCTGTTAATAAATATTCCCTAGCAATACAATTTTTCTGTATTAAAACCATAGAATCGATTACATGACATATGGAAGGTATATTGGAAATCATCTCATCAAAGGCTCATTTTATTAGTAAGAAACCTAAACCCAGAAGTCAAGTGATTTGATTCAGGAAACAAATGAACAGAAAGGTTCAGTCCTTCAAGAATCTAGCTCTCTCACTTTCAGTTCAATGCTCTCTATACCTCCAGTTTCACAGAAGAGCAACAATTCCAAAAAACAAAAGCAATGAAGCTGGGCCTTGTGGCACAGGCCCTTCAACCCAACTACTCAGGAGACTGAAGCAGGAGGATCATAAGTTCAAGGCCTACCAGATCTGGAAAGTTCAAAGGTAGCTCGGGCAACTTAGTGAGACCTTACCTCAAAATAAAAAGTAAAAAGAGGGCTGGGATACAGTTCATTGAGACAGTGCTTGTGTGAGAAGTCCTAGATTGACTCTCCAGTACCACAGATAAAACTAAAAGCAAACCAAAGGAAAACTAGTTGGGAACAAAATGTAGAAGAAATGACACTAGACTAGAAATACAGAATAGGAAGAGCTGGTAAGACCACAAGCAGTGATGAGGATGCAAACTGATCTGAGTATGATGTGAAACCCATTTCACATCAAGCTGAATTCAAATGCATTAAGGTATACACTATGTGGACATCAGGCTGTAGTACCAGAAGTGAAGCAAAGAGAAATGCCATTTCAAAGGCAGGCAAGGCTACACAGCAAGACTCTGTCTCAAAAAAAGATTATGCAAAAATAACCAAATTACATCACATGGCCAACACATACCAGCTCAAGACTGTGTCTTTCTTTCCTTAAAAAAAAAACAAAAAAAAAAACACAAAGCCAGGTGTGGTGGCACATGCCTTTAATCCCAACAACTTGGGAGGCAGAGGCAGGTGGACCTCTATGAGTTCAAGGCCAACCTGGTCCACATAGAGAATTCCAGGCCACAGGGTAGAGCTACAGGGTGTTAAAAAGAGCAAACACACACACACACACACACACACACACACACACAAAAACACGCACACACGCACGTATGCACACATGCACAATTCACCTTCTCTAATAATTCTATACATATTTCCATAAATAATGACAGCATGTATCTTAGCTGATATAGAATGTCCTGCATTTGAGTTAAAAACTTGACAGTAAATAAACAATAATGTCAACATTTCTTTTTTAGCGATTTCATTTTTAATTATGTGTGGGTATCTGTGTATGGGTATGTGCACATAAGTGTGCATGCTCTCAGAAACCAGAGGCATCAGATCCTCTGTGGCTGGAGTTCCCGGCAATTTTGATCTACCTGATGTGGGTGCTAGGAACAGAGCTCAGGTCCTCTCCAAGAGTAGTATAGGCTTTTAACTGCTAAGTCATCTCTCCAAGCCTTAATTTCCAAATAAAACATTTCACCATACCAAAATGAACCATACAAACCACCAAAATATGAAAGAAAACTATTACTTTAGAATTCAACTACATATTTTTAAGGATTTTACAAACTGACTATCTTTTATCCCTTTGGAGACTGAATTCAGTGTCTCCTGCACACTAGGCAAATACTCTACAACTGAGCTACATTCACTGCCCCAAGATTATAGCACTAAAAGAACAATGTGCAGCAAGCCTAATGCCACATGCTTGCCAGCACTTGGGAAGCAAAGGCAGGCAGATCTCTTCGAGATCAAGGCTAGTCTGGTCTACATAGTGAGTTCCCAGTCAGCTGGGGCTACAGAGAGAAGACTCTATCTCAAAAAAATAAAAACAAACCATAAAACAATATACTATAAGATGCAAGAATAACAGGACTGACAAATTATCAGTATCATAAGGCATAAAGTCACATTTTGGGGCAGGAGAGATGGCTCAGTGGTTAAGAGCACTGGCTGCTCTTGCAGAGGACCTGGGTTCAATCCCCAGCACCCACATGACAGCAACGAACTGTCCTTAACTCCAGTTCCAGGGGAATCCGAAGCCCTCTTCTGACCTCTGCAACACTGCATGACACAGTGCACTCACATACATACAGGCAATACACTAATACATATAAAATAAAAATAATAAAATATTTTTTTAAAAAAGAAGCCACATTTCATATTTTTTTTAACTATTGAATTCAAAGAAAGAAGTCAGGAAGCTTCAAAAGACTCAAAGACTGAGGTAGTGAGGGCAGCAGGGGAGAAGGGTAAGAACGAAATACTAAAAATGTATGTATGGGTGCTGGAGAGATGGCTCAGCAGTTAAAAGCACTAGCTGTTCTTTACCGGACCCAGGTTTGGGTCCCAGCACCCACATGGTGGCTTACAACTGTCTTAACTCCAGTTCCAGGGCATTTAATGCCTTCTTTTTAAAACTCTGTAGGTACTGCACGACATGGGTGTACTTACATATATGCAGGCAATACACTCATACACATAAACTAAATAAATGAGAAAATAATATATTTTAAGAATGTATGTATGAAGCTGGGCATGGTGGCACATGCCTTTAATCCCAGCACTTGGGAGGTAGAGGCAAACATATCTCTGTAAGTTCAAGTCTAGCCTGGTCTACATAGCAAGTTCCAGGTCAGCTGGAGCTACAGGGAGACCCTAACTCAAAAAGAGCCCCCCCCACCCTGAAAAAAAAATGTATGAAAGTGCCATACCAAGGGCTAGGGAGATGGCTCAGTGGGTAAACTGCTTGCTGTACAAGCACGACCTCAGCCCAGATCACCATCACCCATATAAAAGCCAGACTAGACAGTGCATGTTTATAAACCCAGCACTGAGAGGCAAAGACAGGCAGATCTCTGGGGTCTGTGGTATGGTAGCCAATTCAGCTTACAGGGCAACCTCCTGGGGCTGGAGAGATGGCTTGGTGGTTAAGAACACTGTCTGCTCTTGTAGAGGACCTAGGTTCAATTGCCAACACCCACATAGCAGCTAACAATCATCTGTAACTCCAGTTCCAGAGGATCCAACGCCTTCTTCTGACCTCTGTGGGCACTGCACAACACAGGTACACTTATGTACTCATACACATAAAATAAAAATAATAATAAATAAGGGCTGGATAGTTGGCTCAGAGGTTAAGAGCACTGGCTGCTCTTGCAGAGGACTCAGGTTCGCATCCCAGCATCCATATGGCAGCTAACGATAGTCTGTAATTCTAGTTTCAGAGGATCCAGCACCCTCTTCTGACCTCTAGTGGGCACTGCATGAAACGGGGGCACTTACATACATGCAGGCAATACATTCATACACATAAAATTTAAAAAAAAAAACAAGTAAAATATTTTTTTAAAAAAATAAGAATTTTTTTTTTTTTTTAAAAGGGCTGTCTCCTGATTTGGTGAGACCTTATCTCAAAAATAGGGTGGAGAGAGATATAGGAAGGCACCCAATGTTAACCTCTCTTTCACACCCACCCCCCATGCACACGAGCACTTGCTCAACTAGTGCACCCAAACACCAGAACACATGCACACAAAAAAAAGAGAGAGAAAGAAGAAAATAAGGCATCATACCAAAACTCATTACTTAGCATGCTTAGTTATAATTTTAGAAAAAAGTCTAGGGGCTAGAGAGATGGCTCAGTGGTTACCTCCACGCACAGTGCATGCCACGTGTGCACTTACATACATGCAGAGATTACACTCATACACACAAAATAAATATAATAAACAAAAATATTTTTTTAAAAAGCCTAATAAGCTAAGTGTCACCAGGTCTAACCCTCCCTGTGCTGCTCTGTGTGACATACATACCATCAATGCTTCGGAAATCCAGTAAGTAAGTCCTGCTATCCACTTGGTACAACTGTAGACTCATTTTGGAAAATGTGCTTGTCACAGGATTCTTCCTTCGCACACGCAAATAATATGGGTTTACAACCTACCATGGATATGGGCAAAAACAAAGTCACATTAAATCAATTCTTCTATAAAATGTTTCCAGTCCCACAGTCTTGCCCAGTGTGCTCAGAGTTAGAATGCACCCCTTCTTACCTTCCATTCATAGTCCAACTGCTTGATCGCTCTGCATACTTCTGCCATGATATCATTTGGTCGACTTTGACTTCTAATTCCCAAATGCCATTTTGCTTTCCGTACACCTTGGTGTTTGGATTTCTGTGGGTTTAATTCATCGAGGGTATGCCGTGCCCTTGGTGTTTCAGCCACCAAGAATGGTACTCTTTCAGGATGGGGTCGAGTTAAATGGTGATCATCAAGGAAAGAATCAGGTGGGCTTGTTGCCAAGTAGAAATCTTTGGCTTCATTCATTATTCTCCTGTTGTCTATTATGAGATGGTAGGCAACTGCCAATGGGTCCTGGTGATTCCTATTATACAGGCAGCTGAGCACCTCCTCTTCTGCGCATTCAAACTTCTCACACACTTCTTTTAAGGCTTCATCATCAATCATGGTTGAACTATAGGATGGATCTTCAGGAAAGAGGTATTTTGGAAGGTCCTGTTTAAACCATTCATGTTCCCTAAGAAAAGAGCAGGGTTGAGAGAATTTTGAGTAAAACCAAAAATAAAATTATCTTTCAAGAGTGTAGGATAGGAGTTCACTTACATTTGTAGCCATACTATAGTGTATTGCTACTACAATTTTCAACTGCTTTTCATCCTGTAGCTCATACATCATTGTATACATTGAGAAAAATATTCAGCTTGCTGCTGAGTCTTAAGAATTGATGCAGCAATGAGAAAGGAAATGCCTAAGTACAGTTTATCCAGCTCAGAAAAAAAAAAAAATACTGTATGGCTTCACTGTAATATTCCTTATTCATGTGAAGGGAAAAAAACCTAGTAATAACAAAAACAGTAGGGTCTGGAGAGATGGCTTGGCAGTTAAGAGCATTGACTGCTCTTACACCCGGGTTTGAATCCCAGCACCCACATGGCAGCTAAAAACCATCCATAACTCCAGTTCCAGGGGATTCAATGCCTTCTTCTGACCTCTGTGGGCACTGCAAGACACAGCTGCACTTACACACATGCAGGCAATACACTCATACACATAAGATAAAAATAATAAAATATTAAAAAACAAAACAAAAACAGTAAGCGACACGCAATGGTTCTTACTATATGCTAGGTTTTATGTCAAACAATTCAGATATAGAAAATTTCTCATCCTCAAAATAATCCTGTGACGATAAAGATGCCACTTTGTTTTAAATGAAGGAACTGAAATTCACATAGATAAGGAACTTGGCCAACGTCAGAAAAGCAGTTCAGAGGCAGAGTCAGGACTAAAACCCAGTTCTGTGTGACTCAAAAGACCATTCTCGGAATGATTTCCTACTCTGGTTCTTTAACTCCACATACGGTGCCATGTCATGAACCATACTGAAACTAAAAAAGAAGAAAGAACCCCAGAGAGGAAACATCCAGACAAATAATGGTTATGAAGGCATAAAATTAATCTTAATTTTCTTGGTGCTTTGTGCTGTTTAAAGGTTTGTTTGTTTGTTTGTTCATTTGTTTTTCCAACTGCAGGTTGATTGGTTTTTGAGATAAAATTTCTGTGTATCCAGGCTGGACTTGAACTCAACAACACCCTCCTTTAGCCTTCCAAGTGCTAGGATTACAGGTATATGCCACCATGACCAGCATTTCCTATTAATGTTAATTATGATATATCCAAAAACACACACAAATACACTTCTTTGACATTTTACAGTACCATTTTTAGGGTGACTTGCCCTTTCCCTCTGAAGATAAAGCAATGCCCTGGCATCCAGGGTCTCTTTCCAGGTAGTCTTTTGGCATGTGGAGTACATAGAAAGGAATCAAGCTTTAAATTCACATATACTCCTCCCCTCTTCCTAATTACCTATTACTTTCTTATTTATTATCCTAGGTCCCTATGATTTCTTTCTTTTTCCTCCAATCCAGAAAAAAAGTGTGGTTTAGCCATCAAAAGATAACAAAAATTTCTAAGGAAAACAACAAACAAGCCAAACGGATACAACTGTGAGGGCGGAAAGAAGTCTACAGAGAATGTTCCATGTCTGCATGACAAACAACTCGACTCGACAAGTAGCTTTGTCATCGTCCTTTCCACTTCTTTAAGATATTGGGTTGCATCATACACAATGTAATATGAACGTTTACCTACAAAACTCACTTCCTATGATTCAATGTGTATTATTAGAAAAACAGGTCAATGGAGGGAGGGGCTGGAGAGATGGCTTAGCGGTTAAGAGCACTGACTGCTCTTGCAGAGGACCCAGGTTCAATTTCTAGCACCCACATGAACAGCAGACCCCAATTCTATCCAAAGGAATACTGACAACAGATTGCCGTTGATAAGGAACAGCTGATCCTCCTGGAACAGGGACCTCTGGCTGACTAGACTTACCAGAAGGGCAGATAGGGGGGAATGGATGGGGGTGCTGACAGCACAGTGGACAGTGGCAGGGATAGCAGAGTATTAGGTTTCAATGAGACTACCAGTACAGATGCATACGTATCATAGGGCCTTCTGCAGGTATCTTTACAGAAGCAGACCGCCCCCCCCCCCGCCCAAGGCAGAATTTATTTCAAGCAAGCTTGTTATATTAGCTTAGTAGGTATTGAGGGAATGCAGAGATTCGTAACTAGTGTGCAGGAAGGTGTGCTGGCTTTTGGGCAGGACAGGACAGACAGACAGACAGACAGACAGACAGACAGACCGCCAGCACGCACGCACGCACGCACGTACGTACGCAGAGGACTGTGGTACTTTTAAGGTTGTGGCATCCGAAAATAAAAAAAATATTTTGAAAGAAAGAAAGAAAGAAAGAAAGAAAGAAAGAAAGAAAGAAAGAAAGAAAGAAAGAAAAGAAAAATAAGTCAATGGTAAAATTAAATTTTTTTCATTTTGAAAAACAAAATTTTTAAGGGAAAATAACAGGTTCAAAATTACCTGATGTCTTTGATTGTGGCCCTCTTCATGGGATCTACCTGCAGCATATGCTTCAAAAGGCTGATCACAGAAGGATTCAAATACTGAGGGGTATAAAAAATCCCATCGCATATCTTCTTAAAAAGAGTTGGCACGTGGTCATCATCAAAGGGAAGGGTCCCACACAGCAAAGCATAGAGAATGACCCCGCTGCTCCAGATGTCCACCTCCGGGCCTGCGTACAATCTGAATAGAGAAGATCATCAGCATTAATTGGTGTCAGAATCCATCAATCAACTTTTTAAAAACGCAAGTACATAAATATAAATAAAGAGCTGGGTGTGATGGCGCATGCCTATAGTCCCAGCACTCAGGAAGCAGAGACAGGTGGATCTCTGTGAGTTGGAGGCCAGCTTGTTCTACTTAATGAGTTCCAGGACAGCTGGGGCTACAGGGAGACCCTGTCTCAAAAAAAAAAAAACAAAAAAAAACAATAAATTAATTAATTAGTTCTTTCTCATTAGGTATTTCCTCTTATCAATTACTGAATTATGAAGATGAATCAGATGTTTCCCTCTATGGACGACGAGGCAACCATATTGTGAATGATGTTGGCATCAATGTTACTGGATCTGATTCCATCGCAGTAAAGGCTTCATTTGGTGTCGTAACCAAACATGAAGTGGAAGTATCAACATTACTTAAGGAAATTACTGCCAGGTCAGTACAAATATCCCAGTATACTTGTGTTCTCATTAAATGATTATCAGTAATCAGAGTATGTTTTTATTTTTATTTTTGGTCTTTTTGAGACAGGGTCTCCCTGTAGCCCCAGCAGGCCTGGAACTCACTATGTAGCCCAGACCGGCCTTGCACTCAGAGATCCACCCACCTCTGCCTCCCAAGTGCTGGGACTAAAGGCATGCGCCACCATGTCTGGCCAGAATATGGTTTTTATAGCAACTGCTGCACATCCTAATCTCAGGGGATTTTTGTTTGTTTTTCTGAGACAGGGTCTCCCTATAGCCCCAGCTTGCCTGGAACTCACTATGTACACTAGGCTGGCCTCAATCTCACAGAGATCCACCTGACTCTGCCTCCCCAGTTCAGTATTAGTTTTTTAAAAAGTAAGAAGTTTGGGCTGCAGAGCTGGCTTATCAGTTAAGAGCACTGGCTGCTCCTGCAGAGGACCTGGGTTTGATTCACAACACCCACATGGTACCTAAGAAACATCCTTAACTCCAATTTCAGAGGAATCAACACTTTCTTCTAACCTCTGAAGGCACTGCACAACAGGTGCACTTATATACATGCAGGCAATGCACTCATACACATAAAAATAACAAAATATTTTTCTTAATAAGTTTTATAAATTATGAACCACAGATAAATTTCTGTTTCATTACTGAAAGGGTCCTACCTGTAGGGCCAAACATTGTGCTATCATGAGCACTGTTTAAACCACTGCTTTTTGGTTACAGAGACTAAACTATTTTTCAAAATAGTGCATGTGTATATGTGTGTGTCTGTGCGTGCACTTGTGCCATGGTGCACATATGGCAATCAGAGGACAATTTTGTGGAGTTGGTTCTTTCCTTCCACATTAAGTGGAATCAAACTCAAGTCACTTAGCAGCAAGTGATTTACCAGTTGAGCCATTACAATGGCAGAAGATTAAATTCTTTAGTAACAGACTCTGAACCCATCCGTCCCCAACAATCTAAGACCCTAAGACTACATAAGGGTTCATGGAGCTGGAGGCTGCAGAAGCAAGCCAAGAGGAGTGCTTCACAGAGCATCTTAAACTCCTACTCGCAGGACACTGAGCAAGTCATTATTCAAAGACTGGCTTTAGGAGGAAAAAGATCTTTAAAATGACAAAACAAATTGCTATAAATATCAATACTCTTGTGAAAATAAGTTCCCTATTCACCTAGATCTCAAAGACCACTGAAACAGCAAATTAATTTCACTAACAGCCTATTTTATATGTGCTTGATCAGAATGTATGTCTTTCTTATTTAATTATGTTCCCCATGGGATCTACATCCCAAAAGTTTTAAGGCAGATTTTCTATCTTAATTCCCTAAAGAATTAAGGCAAAAAACACAAGTGAAATTAATTTTTTTAAAGAATTTTGGACACAAAGTTAATAAAAGATACATCATGAAACTTGGTATTTCCAAAATTTAGTACTCTTACTTCATCTGTAGTACATCTTCCCATAATCATCTTTCCTTGGAGCAGTCTAAGCAAACACACGTATGAAAACAGAAAACATTGCAGTATTTTTGTATTGGGTTAATCAACAATTGAAACATCCAAACAAAGAAATACGGTTTAGATAAAAAATGATTAAAAGGTCACTATAAACACTGGTAACAAAAAGCTTCACTGGTTCCAATTTCATTAGTTTTTCAACAGTAACCAAGAAGTGCTGTCTTTTTCATTTGTCTTGATTTTTATTTGTTGGGTTTTTGTTTTCTGTGATAGAGTTTTACTTTATAGCCAGGCCTGGCCTTAATCTCACTATATATAGCCCAGGCTGACCTCAAACTCACAGCAATCCTCCTGCCTTGGTATCTTGAGTGATGAGATTACAGGCATGCACCACCACTCCTGGCCAAATAGTTGATCTTAAAAATTAAATTCTTAGGGCCATAGAAATAATGCAGCAGTTTAAAGCATTGATTGCTCTTGCAGAAGAAATGGGTTCAGTTCCCAGCACCCCCATGGAAGCTAACAACCATCCATAGCTCCAGTTCCAGGGGATCAGACACCATCTTCTGACTTCCACAGACACTGTACACATGGTACACTTACACACAAACAAAAGCAAAACACTCATATACACAAAAACAAATTAATAAAATCTTTTTTAAAAAAATAAATTTTGGGGGTTAGAGAGATGGCTCAGCAATTAAGAGCACTGGCTGCTCTTGTAGAGGACCCAGGCTCCATTCCCAGTGCTCACAGAGGCTAACTCCAGCTCCAGGGAATCTGACACTTTCCGCATTGCACAATACCGGTGCACTTATGTACATGAAGGCAATACACTCATACACATAAAATAAAAATAATAAAATACTTTTAAAAAAATAAATAAAATTCTTGAGGCTAGAGAGATGGCTCTGCAGTTAAAAGCACTGGCTGCTCTTGCAGAGGACCCAGGTTCAGTTCCCAGCACCCACATGGTAGCTAACAACTGTCTATAACTCCAATTTCAGGGGATGTGATGCCCTCTTCTGACCTCCTTGGGCATTGCATGACATGGGTGCACTTTCACACATGCAGGCAATACATTCATACACATAAAATAAAAATAATAAATAATCTTTTTGGACTTTTTAGACAGGGTCTCCCTATAGCCCCAGCTGGCCTGGAACCAACTACGTAGTCCAGGCTGGCCTTGAACTCACAGAGATCCACCAGCCTCTATCTCCCAAATGCTGGGATTATGTACCACCATGCCTTTAATATTTACTAAAATATTTTGAATAAATAAAAATTCTTGAATCTTTTGAACTGCTGTCTTTTGCCAGCTTACTACCCATTTCCATACTTGAGTACTTTTTTCTTCAATGAATGGTCTCTATTTCTAGCAATAGAAAGGAAAAAAAAAAAAAAGAAAAAAAAATTAAACTCTGCTCTCACACTATTTAAAAAGCTATCCTAGGGGGGCTGAAGAGATGGCTCATCAGTTAAGAACACTGGTTGTTCTCGCAGAAGACCCAAGTTCGAATCCTAGCACCCACATGACAGCTAACAACTGTCCATAACTCCAGTTCCAGGAGATCCAACAGTCTCTTCTGTCCCCCACGGGCATTGCACGACATGGGTGCACTTACCTACATGCAGGCAATATACATATACACATAAAATAAATTTTTAAAAAAATTAAATATTTAAAAAAAATCAACATCTCTCCAGGTGACCTGTGATCTTTGATGTATTTATGACAGCTATATTTTTATTCAGTCACATATACAACTCTTAGTGTGCACAGTACAGTCTGTGTGGATTATCAGCCTATAGTTGTTATATTAATATAGTTCTGCATTCTGTGAGTCTCAGGCCTCAAAACAATATCCACCAGCTTAAATTCATGCTATACTGACCCAGAAGCCAGTGGTACTTTAAAAAAGCTATCCTATACAAATATATTCATATTTTCAATGTTGGTTAGTAAATTCTGGTCAGAGTTCTTATAATACTACAGTCTCCAAAACTTTTTAAGAAGATTGAACATAAATGAGCCCCCTCCTCCTCCCCCATTCCCCTCCATGCTTTCTCAATATTAGGTCTACCTATACAGGCCAGGCTAGCCTCAAACTTACAATCCTCCTACCTCAGCATCCATGTGCTATGCTCAGGTTATAGGTATGCAATACATTCAGCAAGCCGAAATTTGGGGGGGGAGGGGGAGGGAAGTGATTGATTCTTTAGACCAATCTCCCAAGACACATCATCATAAAATCTAAAGCTAGGGGGCTGGAGAGATGGCTCAATGATTAAGAGCAATAGCAGCTAACAGCTTTTGGTAACTCCAGTTCCAGATGATCAGACACCCTCTACTGGCCTCTGAGGCATTGCACAACACAGGTACACACACACATGCAGGCAAAACATTTATATACATAAAATAATCTAAAAAAAAATTTAAACTTAAAGCTACTACAAAAATTGTACGTAGTTGAAAAAAAAAAAACAAAGCTACACACTACATTATACTTGTAACTCTTTTTTATTGTTGTTTGCATTTTGGAGGTTTTTTTTATTTATTTTCATTTCATGTGTGTTTGCCCACATGCAGTGCAATGCCCCCAGAGGCCAGAAGAGGGAATCAAATTCCCTGGAACTGGCAGTTATTAGTCACCAAGTAGGTACTGGGAAACAAACCCGGGTCCTCTGCAAGAGCAGCCAGTGCTCTTAACCCCTGAGCCATTTCTCTAGCCCTAAGTTACAAGCAACCAGCCAATGTGGGTGCTAATAACCGACTCAGGTCCTATGCAAAAGCAGCAAGGGCTATTAACTGCTGAATCATTCTTCAGATCCTCAGGTTTTATTCTCTTTGCTTGTTTGTTTGTTTGTTTGTTTGTTTGTTTGAGACAGGGTCTCCCTGTAGCCCCAGCTAGCCTGGAACTCACTATGTAGACCAGGCTGGCCTTGATATCCCTATGTAGTCCAGGTTAGCCTTGATCTCACAGAGCTCTGCCTGCCTATGCCTCCCAAGTGCTGGGATTAAAGGCATGCACCACCATGCCTATGCCTGGCTATGTTTTATTCTTAAAATGAAGAGTTTGCAGATAAGAATAGACTTTTTCCTTTCCTTTCACAAGAATTAAATATGACATTGTAACAAAATTCAAGAGAAATACACAACTATACCAGGCTGGAGAGATGGCGCAGCAGTTAAGAGCACTGTTTGCTCTTCCAGAGGACCCAGATTCAGTTCCCAGTGCCCACCATCCATGGCTCCAGGGATCTGATGCCCTCTTCTGGCTTCTGCAGGCATTGCACGACATGGGTGCATTTAACAAACAAGGAGGCAAAACACTCAGACACATAAAATACAAATATATAAATAAATAACTTTGTAAAGACAGAAAGAAATACATAACTACAAACATGTAAAGAGTAGGAGAGCATCAAGTATTACCTTCCTGAGATCACTTCTGGTGCAGCATAGTTCGGTGAGCCACAACTTGTTCTTAAAAATTCACCATCTGACATCATGTTTGAAAGACCTGAAAGTACAAAAAACACTTATTTAAAAACAAAAGTGAAAATAAAAGTCCATTAACGAGATCAGTCAGCATTCTTTTTTCTTTGCTTCAACAAAATCAGTCTTTATTCACAAAATATTCTGCCATTGTGCCCTAAAATATGTAATCTATTTCAATATTTTAAGTTTAAAGAGTACATTTTATGCTACTGGTGACTTAGAATAAATTTACTAGAATAAACTCAGAATGTTTAAGTTTTAATATAGACATGGCTAGGCAAAATAATCTCAAACAGATGAAATAGAAAAATTAAAATTCAAAGTCTCCACTAATCCTGCTTTGACTCTATAGAAATTAATCCATCCCAGCACACTCATTCACACCTGTCTTCCCAGTCCTTGGGAGGTTGACAAAGGAGGAAGGAGTTTGACACAGGAGGAAGGAGTTTGACACAGGAGGAAGGAGTTTGAACCAGATGGGGCTACATGAGCTCTGGTCCAGCCTGTGTTATGTGAGACTTTTTTCTAAACCAAAAATAATTTACTAATTCACTCTGAAAATTCTCCTGGTTTTAGTCTAGACTTTGTCCCTCAGGTAAATAATTTAGTTCCAAAAAAGACCACAACAAAGCAGTAACACAGGTTCGTTTGGACTAGTCAGTGAGTCACTACAGATAAAAATACACACACACACACACACACACACACACACACACACACACACACCGCCCCAAGGAATACAAGAATTTCCTCCAATATCAATTAAAGCCAAAAATGGAATTTCAGAGATTCATTTTTCTTTTAAGTTTAATGTCAACAGTGCTAGAAGTGGAGGTGCATGCTGTAACCACACTGAGGAGGATTCTGAGGTAGGACAATCTCAAATTCAAGACCAGCCTGGGCTACAGAGTTACAGACTTATATAAGAGTATCTCAAAAAAATCAAAACTAAAGCAAGCACTATGGCACACCTGGAATCCCTGCAGTCAGGTGCTGGGGGCAGAGGGATCAGGAGTTCAAGGTCATTCTCAGCTATATAGAAAAGTTAAAAGACAAGGCCAGTGTGGGAGTCATAAGATCCTCTCCAAAAAAAAAAAAAAAAGAAGAAAGAAAGAAAGAAAGAAAGAAAGAAAAAAAGAAAGAAAGAAAGAAAGAGAGAAAGAAAGAGGAAAAAACATATATCCATGGCAATTTATATAGGAAATAAAGCAAAAATTTTAAGTCTCATGTAGACTAGGTTGGCATCCAATATGATACATAATAGAAGATGACCCTGAACTCTTGATCCTCCAGCCTCTACCTCCTGAGCGCTGAATTATAGGCATCACCAACCATGCTCAGTTTATACCTCATTTATAATAGAGGATTAAACCCAGGGCTTCACACAAGCTAGGTAGTCACTCTACCTACTAAACTACATTCCCACCACTAAAATCATCTGAACAATAAAATATGTCTTAAGCCAAAGTTTGATTCTCTTCATGACAGGGTTTTATTACACAGCCCACGCTGGCCTCCTGCCTCCACCTCTGGAATGCTAGGATCACAGGCTTGTGCCGCTACACCTGGTAGCATTTACAATATCATTTTTAAAAAATAATTTTGCTGAGATAGTTCACCTTCTGGCTTTGAATTTTTCAATAATTCTATTCCACTTACTTTCCAGTCTCTCCATACTTGACCAAAGAATATACAGAATATATACTAGAAATAAAGTTGCTACCTTCTCCTTCACAAATAAGGATCACCTCTTTTCAAATTATCTCTCTAATGTTGCCAACTTAAAATGTTTACTAGTCTAAAACTCAATTTTAGGGCTGGTTAAATGGCTCAGGGGATAAAGGTGCTTACTGCCAAGGTTGCCAACTTGAGTTCAATCCCTGAGACTCACATTAAAGTAGAGAAACAATTCTCTTTTTTTAAATTTTTTTATTGGAATTTTGTGTCTTTCATACGGAAAATTATCTTTATATTTATACCCCCTCCACCCTTCACTTTTGCACTCTCCCATAGCTCCCCCCCCCCCCCCCCCCC